ATGGAGGAGAGATAAATCACAATGTATAGAAATCCAAAACCTTGTAAAACAAGTTCAGAAGTCTCCCATGATCATGTGTATTTACACATAGCAACTCATGTGTCACATACACTGCTGATGGCTAATAATGAATATACCACAGAGAATGCTCCTTTATATACTTTCATTCTCTTCAAAAATTGCTCAGTTCAACCACCACCATCACATGGTTGCTTGTGTCATACACATCTTGCAGATGAGGAAACTGAGACATTTATTCATGGCCAGCAGCGCACTTGGAAATGTTAAAGCCATAATGAGAAGCCACAGGCCAGCTCAGCAACACACGGTCTTCCTGAGAGACCCTGAAAAACTACCATTGTTTTCATTTTTCTCCCCCTTCCCTCCACCCAGCCCTAAATAGAAAACTAATCTTGTTCTTGAGTGGGATTTCAGAGGCCTGTTTTGGATCTCACATCCATTAGACACACCTAAAACTACACCATCGCTTACGTGTCTATTCCACATATTCTTTTGAGTTAGTCTTGTCAGTACAGTCATCCCTCCAAAGAGTTCCTCACCCTATCTACACAGGATTGACCAAAATCTGTTCACTCTGCTTTCCAAAAACACTGAAATTCCTGTAGAGGAAACACAAACTTTATAGCAGCAGCAGAGTGGAAGGAGTCAGGCAGCATGGAGTGGGGAGCTAGACACAGTCACCACTGCATTCAGAGGGGCTAAGTAAAAAAAGCTGAAAGTCTCTGTAACATTTTCATTCTAAATAATAAAAAATACACTGATGTTTACTTTTTAAAAGAAGTTGGCCTACCATGATCAAAACAAAACGGAAATCACTACCTAGAGCGCTAAAAACACACATGTGCGTGCACATCTCAGCCTTTATGGTTAGCTGAGCGCTCCAACAGCGTAGAGCCTTCCAGTCTCCAGCTGGGCTGCCCAGTCCATCAACCAGGCAGAGACCTTCTGGAGCAAGATTTGCTACTGAATGTGCATTACTGGGGACCGAACCCAGGGCTTTCACACTGAGCTACATCTCCAGTACTTTTTTTTTCTTCCCAATACTTTTTATTAAGACAGGGTCTGGGCCGGGGATTTAGCTCAGTGGTTTCGCCGCCTGCTGCGTTAAGTACAAGGACCTGAGTTCGATCCCCAGTACCAAAAAAAAAAAACAAAGACAGGGTCTTACTAAGTCACTAAATTGCCCAGGATGAGCTCAAATTTGCGATCCTCTAGCCTCAGCCCTAGAGTGCTAGGATTAGAGGCGTGCACTACCAACGCCAACTAGCTTTCTCTTTTAGAAAGAATGAGTTTAGGGCTGGGGATTTAGCTCAGTGGTTCCGCTGCCTGCCTACCTCGAAAGCTTAAGGACCCAAGTTAGATACCCGGTACCAAAA